ACACCCAGCTAGATTTGAATTTCAAATGAATAACTGATCACTTTTTAATACAAGCATGTCCTGAATATTGCGCAGGATTTTATTAGATTAAAAAAAGTATTGGTTGTTTATCTGAAATTCAAATTTAATTGGGTGCTCTGTATTTGATCTGGCAACTCTAGTGTGGATATACCTGCATGTTCAATAAAGAGAACTGAAATATGAAATCTCCAAACCAGTTGTTTGAAGTTATGTAACGATGCCATCAACTGAATTCAGCTGTTTGTCTCTCACCAAGGGCTTAGCCAGTTGTGCAGCCACACAGTGTGATGATTTGGGGTTAGGGAGCAAGGAGTATGCCTGTCCTGGTGCTCCTGATTGAAATGCCATTTACATTTCTTGCATTTTGCAACAGATTTATCTCCAGCTTACTATAAAGTTCTGGGAAAACTCAGAAGAAAAAGATGTGTTCAGGTTTCAAATATGAAATAAAGAGGCACAAGGGGAAAAGGTGGTGCAGGGATTCTGAAAGGGAAAGAGACCTATGTTAAAACATACTCATAGCATAAGATACTTACAAAAAGCTTTGTGAGGAAGTAGCCCACAGAGTACTGCAGAGTAGAGAGAGTTTGGCTTGGCTTACAACATTTATGTGAAATAGAAATAGGCCACTTTCAGAATATGAACATCACTGTCTTCAAATAACTCATAAACTAATGTTTATCTTCAAACTTGACTTGCCCATTTTGTCTACATAAACTAGTCAAACAAACTAGTTTGGCAATTGCCAGATAATCCTATTGTTTTGTATCTCTTATAAGCAAACTATTGGCTCAGAAGTCAAAAGATAAGGATTCCAGCTTCCACTCTACCACGTTTGAGAGTTAGCTTTCTTAGCCATGGTGTCTTCATCTATTGGAAGAAAGAATAATTTTTGTCCTACATTCCTCGTTGATTTCTTTTAATTTTTTAAAAGATTTCATTCATTCATTCATTCATTCATTCATTCATGAGACACACAGAGAGAGAGCCAGAGACATAGGCAGAGGAAGAAGCAGGCTCCCTGCATGGAGCCTGATGTGGGACTCTATCCCAGGACCCTGGGATCACACCCTGAGCCAGAGGCAGACGCTTAATCACTGAGCCACCCAGGCATCCCGATTTCTTTTAATTTTTAAAGAAAAAAATTCATGATGAACTTCTCAGTGTGCATACATATTTTTTATAATAAATTAATTTTTTATTGGTGTTCAATTTACCAACATACAGAATAACACCCAGTGCTCATCCCGTCAAGTGCCCCCCTCAGTGCCCGTCACCCATTCACCCCCACCCCCCGCCCTCCTCCCCTTCCACCACCCCTAGTTCGTTTCCCAGAGTTAGGAGTCTTTATGTTCTGTCTCCCTTTCTGATATTTCCCGCACATTTCTTCTCCCTTCCCTTATATTCCCTTTCACTATTATTTATATTCCCCAAATGAATGAGAACATATAATGTTTGTCCTTCTCTGATTGACTTACTTCACTCAGCATTATACCCTCCATATTTAGATTTAATACATGTTCTATATGCCGCTTTGTATTTTTTTTCTCTTTCTGGATTTTGAATTTTTATCTATCAACAGCATACCTTAAATTTATCTTTTTTGTGCTTTCATGGTATGATATTATGTTCATATCTCAGAGTTAACTTCTCCCTAGTTATTAAATATTTATCATGTTTCTAGCTTTTTTTCTACTACAAAAAGTGTTATCATAACCCATCTTCATACACATTGTCTTTTTCTCTCCTTCTGGTTTTCTTCATTAGGACATGTTTCTTGGAACAAGTTGGTTAGCTTTCATTATTTATTGTCAAGTTGCTCTTCAGGAGAGATGGAGCTTATGGACTCATGTGTATGTGAGGCCACTTCCACATTCTCTTTTTATCTTTGATTTATCCTAGTTAATAGAAAGGCAGTAATAGTTGTTCTAGTTGAAGCTCTCTGTCAGGATGGCTAAGTATTTTTCATTATCTCATTTCATTAATTCTGTTTCAACATGTTATAAATATTTCTCCATCTTTCTCTTGCTCAGCCTTTCCACATTATGGATAGTGGACTTTCCTGTGTCTATGTTTTTAAATTTGTTTTTATCTTTCTGTTGCATTTCCTTTCATCCTAGTTTCGTTACTGTCCATCATAAGAATATTGAACTCATCCTTGTCATTAATATCTTCTTGCATAGTTAATTAAGATAGTCTATTTCATTCCCCTTTAAGGCTTTTATAGGAATACTTAAAATGTTTAACTATATAAGTCATCTGGAATTTATTGTGGCCTGCAAGAATCAAAAAGCATATTGAGAAAAGTAAACAATTTAGATTTTTTTTTAACTAACTTGAGTCCAGCAGCACTCTTATGATAAGTCACTTTTTTTTTTTAAGTCACTTAACCTCTTAAGACTCTGTACCCTCTACTAGACTGAAAACAGGGATCTTATCTTACTTCTATTTGTTTTTCCCCACAGTATCCAGCAAAGCACCTTACGTATAGGATAAATTTTATAAGATCTATACTCAAGTCGTATTTTTGCATATAACTATCAGATTGTTCCCACACCATTTATTTTTTAAAAGATTTTATTTATTCATGAGAGACAGAGACAGAGAGAGAGGCAGAGACACAGGCAGAGGGAGGAACAGGCTCCATGCAGGGAGCCTGACATGGGACTCGATCCCAGGACTCCAGGACCACGCCCTGGGCCGAAGGCAGGAGCTAAACCACTGAGCCACCCAGGGATCCATTTATTTTAAATAATGACTCATTTCCCAAATATTTGTTTGGTTGCTTATTATTGATCACATATCAGTGATACTCAGACTTGTTCCAATAGCAAAACACTTGGAAGTTATGGCATTCTGCAGAACATCATGAAACATGGAGATATTAAAGTTAAAATAATGAAAATTAAAATTTGATGCTATATCAGATACCAGTTTACAGTAGATTCTAGTATACTATAGATATCATCAGACACCAACAGTTGTTTTTTTTTTTTTCTTAACTTATGGGAGAATTGTTAAAATTGAGAAAATTCTACCCAATAACTTAATTCCTACTAAGAATCTGGAAAATAAACACCCAGCCATGGAAAAGCAAGTTCATCAAGAGCAAAAGTTGAGAGCCACATCTTATATTAAGCATACCCAGTGGAGAATATAAATAAAAGCTTCTGATCAAATGTGAACACTACATGAAGTCCAGCTGAACTGGGCTGAACTCCAGCTGAACTCAGAAACTATTTAAGATCAGTCTTTTGCATTTCCAAGGTTGGAATTCCCGTAATATTAGGAAATCTAAGGGAGAATAGATGTCAGATCCCCAGTGTGTGTTCACACCAGCAACCTTAACTCTAGACACTTCTATTCATTAATCTATAAATCAGAGGAGATGACACAAGGTACCTTGTATTCTACCATATCACAGCATATGGATTTCACAAAGCAAGCAGGAGATAGGTATGTTGGAACTATTAGAAAGTACCTATTTCCATTTTGGATTCCTTGTACCCTGAGGACAGTGCCAGCGCAAGAGCTAAAGTTCCTGTCCTTTGCAAAGATTTCCTGAAGATGTGGGCAGGGAAATCTTTAAAGACTACTGGAGCCCTCTGCAAGCAACGTCATCGTGCTGTGCTAATTAATATGTTTTCACAGAGCTTACTTTTACTTAGACCTCAGCTTCCAAAAAAATAGTTTCAAAAAAAAGTTTCTTGTTAGAAAGACAATATGCTATAATTTTAAAAAGAACACTTCTAGAACAAGAGGTAAGAGTCTAGGGTTGCATCCCACTATGCCACTTCATCTGGGATGAGTCATTCAGCATATATGGGCTCAGTTTTTCTCCCCCTGTCCCCTCAAAAATGGGTATTTAGAATAAATTATTCCTAAAGTCCTGTATGGTTCTTATAGTCTTATTCAATACAGATGTGTTCCAGTTCAAGAAAAGTAAAGATGCAAAACTTCACATTTAGGAAACTGATCATTTGCTATTCAGAATGGTCCTTGCTCAGTCATTCTCTACTTAGAAAACTCCCCCAGAATTTCCCTAAATAGTAAGAACCTCTAGTAAATCAAACTATGATTCCAAGGACAAATCTCCTTGGAAGAATATGCTGTACATACAGTAGAGGAAAGTGCTATCTTTTCTCTGGACAATGAATGTCACAATATTCATGAACAATATTCTGTGGCAGCTCTGGGGTATGTGCATGTGTGTTGGCAAGAGGTTAGAACTGCTAAATCCTGATACAGATATAGTGCCAAAAGGACAGCAGATTCCATGAAAATCATCTGCTTGGACGGGAAATAAATCATGACTTCATTGGATACGTGGTTTTTTAATCTCCAGTTCACTCTTGGTCCAGGGTTCTGAAATCGGGGCTAACACGGAGAGGCTGCTCTGTGAAATCATGCAATTATCTTTTCCCCTTCTCCTTTACACTATCTCCAGAGATTGCATGGATCAATGGTATTGTTCAAAGCATTTCAGTAAATACTAGTTCAAGCCATTTTCCCTCCGAAATGTATCCCACCAAAAGGTTTGCTTCTCATCTACCCAAGAGTGTGTGTGCTCCAGATGTCTTTGAACCCTCACTGTAGGATGTGGTGCAAACTATCCCAGATTGCCTTCATTGTCCTGAGTTATCCCACTAAGATAGGGCTCTGTACTCTACGAAGGCTGACCCCCAACCTCTACTTCACCAGCATGGACAAAGCAATTTGTTTTCTGTCACTCTTGACAGCTGATTTAGCTAAGAGAGACGAAGGCAAAGTTAGAATGGCCCTTGTTTTTACACTTAGCAATTCCTATTTGTGTGCATGTGTTTTAGGATGACATCTCTGCCAATATTAGCAGAGTTCCAACATACCTATTAAAATGGGACACAGTTTCCACTAAGTGCATTTATGTAAAGAGCAATTTTTTCCCAAATTTTCCCAATACCTCGGATGGTTTACAGTAAAGTTTTGCTGTCTTATCACAGTTTCAGAAAATGGTCATATACAGAAGCAACGAACACCTCACCGAAGATGTCAGCAGCCCAAAATGTTGAGTAGCCCTGAGGACACCATGTACTATAACCAGTTAAATGTGAGTTCAAAGTGGCCATAAAGCTGTTTCACTGGCTTTGTTTCCAGTTAATAATTCTGTTATTAATACCTGTTCCAGCCCCTCCAGCCCCACCCCCACTCTCTTATGCTCTCTTCTTGAACATGTGCTTAGGCTCTTTATCTGTTGCTTTCATGTCAGGATGTCTGCCTTCACGGTGAATAATTGATGTGGTTTATCAAAGACGAGCAAGATGCATGCTTCATCAGGCTCACTTGAGCCCTTTGATCAAAAAAATTATGCTGTGACTTCTGATATTATCAGCATCTGCTTGCATTCAACACAAAATCACTTTGAATTAAAAATTAACGACTTGCTGCTTTGCTTTGACTGTGTGTTCTTGGCCCTCTCCACAGGGAACTCTAGAATATCAAGGGAGCAAGAGGAAGCCAAGAAAACTTGGGTAAATATCTGTCTTCTTAGTTCTAAGCAACTGTAAACAGAAGGGGTCCTTTGTGATATTACAGAAAATGCAAAACTTTCCAGAGAAGCTTCTAAAAATATGCAAATGGGGATATTGCCTCTATTATTGACATTGGAAACTACTTTTCACAGTAGCAGCTATATAAAACTTGAATCTATTCTGTCCGAAAAGGCTGAAATTGCCACCTCAAGGCAAATATTATTTCTCACAATTATCCCAGGAAATTGTGGTTTCCCTTATAATTGCAGATGTAGCAGATTGTATAAAACTCTCCCACAAATAAGAGCATTGCACACAGTGCAAATAGGCCTCTTCCCACATCACCCTGCCCCTGAGCCTTAAAGGTACACAAAGGAAAATCTCCCCCAGTGGTTAGACAGAGGACACTGTCTAAGGAGTTTGTGGCTCATTTCATTGTTAGCATCGCAACTGAGAATATAGTGACACAGGTAACTGGTACTAGTTTGAGAACTGGAGGAGGGAAGGAAGGGAACATTCTCATCTGGAGGGAACCAAACAGGGACAGACCAGCTAATTCAGGCAGACAAGTTGTAATATGATCACAACTTCCAGACACCACTAAATTGAGCCTGTGATCAGCCTGTGACCCGGAGGTGAAAGGCTTTGTGGATCAGACATCAGTTCCTCTGTTCTGGGAAACCCTGAGCTACTTGCCCTAAGCTGTCCTTCCCTTCCACTGGGGGAACCCAACCCTGTTCATAATATTCACACAATTTCAACTGCTCCAGTGAGGACTGTGGCCTTTGTCCACTTTTTCTGCTAAAAACTCTTTTCTTTGTTGCAGCCAGATCAAAGTGCTTGATGGGGAAGATGAATATTACAAATCCTTGTCACCTGTGGACTCTATTCCCGAGGAAGACAGCCCATCCTGCCCTTTCTTTTCTTCCTCATCCTCGAAAGGAGCATCTTTTGCTCAGCACTGAGCTGAACTTCCTGCACCCCATGTCTGTTGAGGGTAAGAACAATCATGATAATCAACTGATTGTCATTTAATAAGAAAGCACTGCAATGGGGTCAGCCTCTTTGGACCAGTAGCCTGGGTCTGAGCCTTACTGAATAATGTTCAGATTCCTAACCATTTCTCCTACTCATTGCCCTTCCCACATCTGCAGTGCAGCCTGAGCTGGGCAGTTTTCCCTTTTCTCATCTCATGGGTACCTGTGGGACCCTGAACACGTCTCTGCTACAGCAGTAAGTGTCATTTGTGCCCTCAGTGTACCTCAGTGTACCTCAGTGTACCTCAGTGTACCTTGTGTACCTCAGAAGGTAGACCCTGAACACGTCTCTGCTACAGCAGTAAGTGTCATTTGTGCCCTCAGTGTACCTCAGTGTACCTCAGTGTACTTTGTGTACCTCAGAAGGTAACAGATAATGTCGCCATAAGCCATTCATGAATGCTGATATTTATTTTTCCTGCCACATCAGGCCATGCAAAGTCTGCCCCTGCAAAAATCCAGGCCTCCCTTTACACCTCACTTCTCTCCTGCATTCCCCTCCTCCTTTGAGAAACCCTTCAGGCCTCTTTCCAGAGTCAGAGTTCCGCAGCTGAGTGTCCCCATCCTGAGGAAGTGCACTAGTCAAGGTCTCCAAGGCCAGGATCATTTTTTGTGTTTAGGGGGAGAGGCCTAAATCTTGCTGTAAGGCAGATGAACCCCTCTCTTGCTAAAGCCTTTGCCTCTTTACTCCCATCACCTTAGGAGTGGAAAGAAAGGAGTTAGAGGGAAAGAAAATTTGGACCTGCCATAGTCTATTTCACATGGTTTAGTACATTTCCATTCTCTGGGAATTCCCCAGTGTCCACTAGGCTATGAGTGATTGTAGGGAAAGGATCTTGTCTTGCCTTACTTTGTGAGCACAGAGCCTACAGTAAGTAGTTCCTGGCACAGAATGGACATCCAGTATATGCCCTTAAGTGAATGGAGAACTTCACTTAGTCACACTAACATATGTGACAGGTAAGTATCTTTCAGTTCTGTGTTCTACATGATTAATCACTTTTTTTTAAGATTTTATTTATTTATTCATGACAGACACAGAGAGAGAGAGAGAGAGGCAGAGACACAGGCAGAGGGAGAAGCAGGCTCCATGCAGGGAGCCCGACGTTGGACTCGATCCCGGGCCCCCAGGATCACACCCTGGGTTGAATGCAGCGCTAAACTGCTGGGCCACCAGGGCTGCCCAATTAATCACTTTTCTTACACCATAAGCTCTGATTTTTCACTCCAGGTTGGGCTAGTCCTATTATAATAATGTTATACCATTTATTATAATACTCAATATGAGTCAATACAACAAACATCTTTTGAGCAACTACTCTATGCAAAACAATCTATGAGATTGCTGTGTGATGTGAAAAGCCCTATAAGACCTTTCTTTAGAACAGATGTTCTCAACAATTTTTTTTTTACTTTAAAATGCTTGGCAAATCAGACATGTGGGAGTACCCAGATTTTGAGAAAAATTAACTAGAAGAAATAGAAAAAAAATCATTATCAGTTATAGAGGGGAGAATTATAATGTACATTTTATAAAGATAAAATAATGAAATGAGGCATTTAAAGATCTCATAAATTATATTTTATAAGAAAAAGATATAGAAAAAGCTAATTATTCAATAGTTAAACTTTACTTTTTAAAAAAATAAACCTTGAATTTTTTCTCCTCACATATTCACCCCAAAGGTAATGTTTCTTAAGATATACAAATAGAGCAGAAGAAACACAAATGAATTTTGTTATTTAAAAAATATCTAGTATAGGGGCACCTGGATGGCTCAGTAGGTTAAGCATCTGACTCAATTTTGGCCCAGGTCATGATCTCAGACTCCTGGGATTGAGCCCCACATCAGGCTTCCTGCTCAGTGAGGAGTCTGCTTCTCCCTCTCCCTCTGCCCCTCCTCCCTGCTCATTCTCTCTCTCTTTCATTCTCAAATAAATAAACAAAATCTTTAAAGAAATGCCTAGTGTAGATTTTTAACATTTTAATATAAGTATTTTAGTTTTGTAGTATAGTCATACAGCATAGTGGTTCAACAGTTTAATGCATAATGCAATATTTACTACTCTAAGTGTAGTTACCATCTGTCACCATACACCATTATTACAGTATTTTTTACTGTATTCCCTGTGCTTCACTTTTCATCTCTGTGACTTACTCAAAACTGGAAGTTGGGCTGCCTGGGTGGCTTAGTTGGTTAAGTATCTGACTCTTGATTTCAGCTTAGGTCATGATCTCAGGGTCATGAGACCAAGCCCTGCATTGGGCTCCATGCACAGCATGGAGCCTGCTTAAGGTTCTCTTTCTCCCTCTGATCCTTCCACCTCCCCCAAAATCAGTCTAGAAGTTTGTTATCTCTTAATCCCCTTCACCTATTTCCCCTATCCTCCCACCCTCCTCCTCTCTGAAAACTACCCGTTTTTTTTTCCCTCTATTTATGAATCTATTTCTGGTTTTTGTTTGTATGTTTGTCCATTTATGTGTTTTGTTTTTTAGATTCCACATGTAAGTGAAATCATACAGTATCTGTCTTTGTCTGATTTATTTCACATAGCATAATACCCCTCTCAGTCCATCAATATTGTCACAAATGGCAAGATCTCATTCTTTTTTATGGGTAATATTCCATTATGTGTATGAATATGTATTTATACATACACACACTACATCTTCTTTACCTATTCATCTATCGATGGATGCTTAGGTTGCTTCCATATCTTAGCTGTTGTAAATAATGCTGCAATAAACATAGGAGTGCATAGATCTTTTCAAATTGGTGTTTTCATTTTCTTTGAGTAAATATCCAGTGGTGGAATTACTGGATCATATGGTATTTCTATTTTTAATTTTTTTACTGGATCATATGGTATTTCTATTTTTAATTTTTTGAGGAAAAATACTTTTTTCCACAGTGTTTGCACCAAATTATATTCTAAGCAACAGTGCATGAGGGTTCCCTTTACTCCACATCCTTTTGCCAACTCTTGCTATTTCTTATCACTGCATTCTGACTGGTGCAAGGTGATATTTCTTGTTTTGGAAGTTTTACTCTTATCATTGACTTGTCTACTTTTGATTTGCTAATATTAGCTGTTTTTCAAACTGTTGTCTGTGTACAATGTAATAAGTATCTGCCTTGTCTCTAATTAAATATCTCCAAAAACATCTCAAAAAAATTTCCATAAATAAGTCAAAAGGAAACAAATAATTATAAAATTATTATTTAGAAGCTCTGCAATAATTAGTCGTTGCTACAGCTATAACTCCTAACAGTAGTTCAGAAATGAGGTTCTCGGGACGCCTGGGTGGCTCAGCGGTTGAACGTCTGCCTTTGGCTTGGGGTGTGATCCCAAGGTCTGAGGATCGGGTCCCCCATTGGGCTTCCCATGGGAGCTACACCATCTACACATTGTAGATTTTATTCTTGGACTGGTCATATTGTCACAAACTCAAGAAGTAAGTCTTAAGTGAAGTATATGAGAATGATGCAACCTGGAATCTCATAAATGTCCTGTTAGATTTATCAATGTAATATGCACATAGCAAAAACAAGACAAAAATCAAAGAGTGTAAAGGGTTTATAATGGAAATTGATCTTCTTTTCCCTGTCCCTACTTTAGTCCCTCCCCCTAGAGGCAACCATTTTTTATTATTTCTAATTCTAATTCCCTTACTGGTTTCCATCATGTGTGTGAATGATTTACTTCCATCTTCTTGGTTTATCATTTTCAATAATATTTACTCTCCCCCTCTATGAAAGATGGGCATTTATTTCAATTATGTCTTCCTTCTCATACTTCTTCCAGTGCTTACAATTTGATGTTTTAAGTTTTTGTCGATTACCTTTTAAACTTTAAATTATATAATTAAACACCTATTTTTGTATGTCATTCACTTTAGAAAGTATCTCTGCAAGGATACCTGACATGAAGAAAACCAACAAGCTGAAAGATACTGTCAAGACAAAATAACTGACCCTGGACAAAATAGAAATCATCCTAGGAATAGAACAATTTTTAAAAGCTTCACTGCAAGCCCTTGGTATTCATGTTGTGAGCTGCTGTTTTTCCTTCGTTTTGGTTCATCTGCAGATATGCCTCCATCTACTTTAACTTTCTTTCTTTTTAAATGTCATACAAATACAGAAAAGGACACAAATCAGAAGATTCAACTTAATAAGTTATCAGAAAGTGAATATCCATGTAACTGTCCCTACCTACAGTCAAGTTATCTATGTAACCACTCCTATAGTCTGAAAAATTATTAGAAAGTAATGTTCCAGTGGAACATTGTCAGCATGTTAAGTCTCCCTCTTGTCCATTCACAATCACTCACCTCCCCAAAGACAAGCACTCTCATGACTGTTGTGGTGAATACTTCCCTTGGTTTTCTTTATAATTTTACTACTTATACTGTAGTTAAATTTTGCCTCTTATAGTTAAGTTCTGGGAACTTTATATAAATGGAATCATGTAGTATATAATCTTTAGAGATTTGTTTCTTTTATTCAGTGTTACATTTATGAGGTTCATCTGTGTTGTAGAATATAAATGTAGTTCATTCATTTTTAAGACTATATAGCACTCCCGTATATGAATATGGCATAATTGACTTAGCCATTCTGCTTTTGATAGACAAATGTGAATTATTTCCAATTTGGGGCTATTCTGGACATTGCTACTGTGAACATTGTTGTGTGTTTCTTGATGTCTATTTGTAGGCATTTCTGTTGGCTGTGTTCCTTGGATTAGGATTGCAGAGTTCTAAGGTACCTATATCTGCAGTTTAGTGGGTGATATAAAACTGTTTTCCTAAGTGATTTTACCAATTTACAGTCACACCTGCGACATAAGAGGGCTTCCATTGTTCCATATTCTCTCCAATGCTTGTTATTATCAGTCATCTTCATATGGGCACTCTGATGGGTATACATTAGAATCTCACTGTTGATTTCTAGCTTACATATTTCTGATTAATAATGATATTGAGCACATTTTCATGTTTAAGTGGTCATTTTAGATATCTTCTTCTGTGAAATGCCCATTTTTAATTGGGTTAACTATATTTTTTTCTTTTAATTTAAAGAACTGTGTTATATATTGTTAGAAGTATTACAATATTTTTTCCACTAGATAGTTTGTTCTTTCATTCCCTTAAAGTATCTTTTGATAAAAAATGTTTATAATGTTAACGTAATTCAATTTATCGGTCATTTTCTGTTTGATTAGTACTTTTTTATAGCCTATTAAGAAATCCTGTTTAGCCCCAAAGTCATAAAGGTACCCTTAGGATTTTCTGAAGGCATTATTGTCCTGCCTTTCATATTTAAATCTTCAACCCATCCAGAATGGATTTTGTGAATGCTGTGTGGTAAGGACCAATTTTCTTGTTTTCTAATAATGGATATTCAGCTGTCATAGGCCCATTATATAAAAAGGCCATCTCTTTTCTACTGTTCTAAAATACTACCATTTACATAAATCAAGTAATCACATATCTGTTTCCAGATTCTCTATTCTGTTCTGCTGATCTATTATGCTTGCTGTAAATCCTATACCTTTCTTTATAATAGGCTTTGGTTTACGACAGAGCAAGTCTTCTAATGTTGTCTTTCTTTTACAAGAGACCTTTGATTAGTCTGGGCTCTTTGCATATTATATATTCAAATAGTCTACTTATGAAAAAAAAAACTGTTGGTATTTCTTTGGAATTACTTGAATCTGTAAATCAATTTGGAAGGAATTGTCATGTCTGTAATATTGAATTTTGCAAACTATAAACATGGTATATCTTTCTATTTATTTAGTTATTCTTTCTTTTCCCTTAATAATTATTTATAATTTTATGTGAGAGATCTTACACATAGTTTAGTTTAGTTTATTGGTATGCACCATATATAATTTTATAGTATTTAAGGTTTTTTTTTTTTAATTTTTAAGCTGTTTGTTGTTTGTTCTAGATTATGCTTAAATCTAATTCCCAGTGTGATGGCATTTGTTGGTGGAGCCTTTGGGAAGTGATTAAATAATGAGAGTAGAGCCCTCATGAATGGGATTGGTGCCCTTTCTAAGACTTTGCTTGCCTCCACCACATGAGGACACAGTGATAGGATGGTTTTCTGTGAAACAGCAAGTAGACTGTCACGAGACATCAAGTCTACTGGCACCTGGATCTTGGACTTCCCACACCTCCAGAATTGTGAGAGATAAATTTCTGTTGTTTAAGCCATCCATTCTGTAATATTCTGTTATGGCAGCCCAAATAGACTAAGACATTGCTGTTACATGAGAGTGCAGGTGAAAAAAAAAAAGAGAGAGAGTGCAGGTGATATTTTATATTTGAGAACCATTGACTTTGCTAAGTCATTAATTCCAATAATGTATCTGTAGATATTTTTGGATTTTCTACATATGCAATTTTACCCTCTCCAAATAAGTGTAGACATTTTCTTCCTTTTTCATACTTCATACTTTCTTTTCTACTTTGCTTTTTTTCTTGACCCACTGTCTGTTTTATAATGTTTTTGCTGCATTACAAACCATCCCAAATTAAGCACATATTTCTTACAAGTCTTTGGTTGGCTGAATATTTCTGCTGATTTGAGCTAGTCTTGCCAGGATTCATTTGTGCATCTGCAGTTAGCTGGAGCTAACATCAGCTAAGCACCTTTGCTGATGTTAGCTGTGTTTCTCCCATATCTAGGGCCACAACAAGGATAGCTGGGCCAACTTAGTTCTATTCAACATGTTTTCATCCTCCAATTTGTTATTATTCCCAGTGGCAGTGCCAGAGTCTCTGAAAAAGAGAGGGAAAGAGGTCTCTCTTTCTCTCTCTGGCACATTGTCAATTTAGCCATATTCTTTTAACCAAAGCAAAATATAAGGCCAGCCCATATTCAAGAGGGGCTTCAGAGTCCCGTTACATTACAAAAGGTGTGAAGGGGATCCCTGGGTGGCGCAGTGGTTTGGCGCCTGCCTTTGGCCCAGGGCGCAATCCTGGAGACCCGGGATCGAATCCCACATCGGGCTCCCGGTGCATGGAGCCTGCTTCTCCCTCTGCCTATGTCTCTGCCTCTCTCTCTCTCTCTCTCTCTCTGGGTGACTATCATAAATAAATTAAAAAAAATTTAAAACAAAAACAAAAGGTGTGAATACAAGGAAAAGTAGAGAATTGGGTTCTTTTTTTTTTTTTTTTAATTAAAATGACACACTAACCTGGCTAAGATTTCCAGTACAAGGTTGGTTAGGAGGGCTAAAAGAAGACACTCTTGTCTTTTTTGCAATCTCAAAGAGGGAAAGCATTCAGTATTTTATCATTGATTATAATATTTGTTCCTTTCTATTCTCAAGTGCATTTTTTCCCTTATAAGTGGATGTTAGGTCTTATCACATTTATTTTTTATGTATCTAAATAATTCTATGATTTTATTCCTTTATTTTGTTAATCTCCTGAGTTATGCTGGTTTTTTAATATGAAAGCAGCCTTGTATCCTTGCAATACATACAACTCTATCATGTTGCACTGTCTTTTCACATTTTGCTGCATTTGATTTGTTAATTAAAAAAATTAATCTGTGCTTATGATGAAATTAACATGTGAATTCTTCTCATAGTATCCCTACTTGCTTTTCTCTGGAAGAGTTGTATAAGAATGACATTAATTCTTTCTTAAAATTGTTTTAATCCACTAGGGGAGCTGTCTGTGCCTGCAGTTCTTTATGAAGGAAAGTTTTAATTATGGATTAAATTTCTTTAATAACTTATGACTTGTATCTTCTATTTCCTCCTGTGTCAGTTTTGTTAGACTTTAGTTTTCTAGAAATTTTTCCATGTTTCCTCCATTTTCAAATTTGGTTAAAATTGTTCAAAATATTTCTTTTTTTAAAAGATTTTATTTATTTATGAGAGACAAAGAGAGGCAGAGACATAGGCAGAGGGAGAAGCAGGCTTCTCGCAGGGAGCCTGATGTGGGACTCAATCCCCAGACTTGGGATCACACCCTGAGCTGAAGGCAGATGCTCAACTGCTGAGCCACCCAGGCATCCCTGTTCAAAGTGTTTCTTAAGATATTTTTAATATTGTAGAATTGTAAGATCCCCTTTTTCATTTGCATTCGTGATAATTTGTGTTTTCTTTTTCCTTGATTCTTCTTGCTAGATCTGTCAATTTTATTAGTGTTTTAATGGAAACAACTTTTGATTTTGTTCATTTTTTTTCATTACCTATTAGTTTCCTACTTCACTAACTTTTGCTCTTAGGCTTATTATGTTTTTGCTTTAAATTGGCTGTTATTTTTTCTGATTTCTTGGGATTTTAAGACTTCTTTTTTAATATATTCCTTTAAGCTACAACTTTCCCTCTAAGTGTGGAATTAGCAGCAAGCAGAGTATTTTTATTATCATTCAGTTATGATTTTTTTGACTCATAAGATTTTCAGAAGTTTATTAATTTCTAAACATACATGAATTTTCTCCTATATTTTTCTTGTTGAGTTCTAGTTTAATTATTCTTATGCCCAGAGAACAAAATTCAGTATCATTATTCCAAGACTTTGATATTTATTGAGACTTTATGACTCAGCATATGACTTTTTTGGTAAAACCTTCATGAATATTCAATATATACTTAGAAATAAGGTATGTTCTGTAGTCTTCCATATATGCAGAATGTTTGTTAACAGTCATCTTTTCCATGCTCATTGATATTTTTTTGCTGATTCTTCTATCAGTTTAGAGAAGTTTGTTAAAATTTCTCACTATGATTATGAACTTGTCTATTTCTCATTTTAGCTTGGTGTGTATATTATATAATATATAATATTAATCTATGCAATTAAGCCTATATTATTAGGTACATATACATACTTTTACTTTTTTTTTTTTTTTTGCTACTCAAGAAATTACAGGGCAGCCTCGGTGGCTCAGTGGTTTAGCACCGCCTTCGGCCCAGGGTGTGATCCTGGAGACCCCGGATCAAGTCCCGCATTGGGCCTGCT